TCTGAAGTAGAAGGCTCTACTCCCGAGTATTCGTTATGGCCAAGGGGGAGGTGCCAAGCTGGGGAGAAGCAGCAGCCCCAAGTTCAATGAGCCAATCGCCCTCACGCCCCCAAAGCACGTACAATCACAGCCAGAAGGGTATGTAGAACCTCGGTGGCAGAGCTGGCTCTCTCAAACCTTAAAAAGGTCTTCTCAGAGGCCACTCAGACATGCTTCATACAACTATTTTAATCCCCTACAGAAGATGGCATTTTTCTAAAACAAGGTTCTTGGGGATTGTTGCAATGATTCAACTTTGGTTGCTCTTCTGTGTAGGATGCCTTCCGGCTGCTGACCTGATGGAATCAAATTTAAAATAAACAAAACAACAACAAAGGAAAACACAAACCTGGTGGAAAGTTACCAGATGTCTGCCTTGGATTCTATTCCTGGTCTGTGGCAAACTCCCTTCTGTGAGTCTGAATTTCTTCAACAATTCGGAAGTCAGATTCCACGATGTCTAAGGTTCCATCCAGCTCAACAGTCCTGTTAACGACTTACAGCCAGGCCTCAACGTGCCACTTCATTTTGAGCAAAGAGTGAGGCTGTCTGTCATGGCTGTGCCTTGGTGGCTTTGCTGAGCACACATCCATCGGTACGCACTCTCCGTAAACATGGGGGGGACACATACCTACTAAAAGGCGGCACACACTAATGCCCTCTCCTGTGGTCCCTGGTATTCGTGGCACCTAAACGGGGCCTTTGTAATGGCAAATGCACCAGGTAGCAGGCCTCCTGCATGCTTTCTTAAATTCTGCAGCAGAAATTTTAAAAGATCTAAGTAAACAGAAAGAAATCTTGTGTTCGTGGATTAGAAGTTAAGAATGTTAAAATGGCAATAGTTCCCAAAACAATCTAGAGATTCCGTGCGATTCCTATGAAAGTTCAATGACTTTTTTTTTTTTTTTTTTTTGCAGAAATGACAACCAAACACTAAAATGTGAATGAAAATAACTGATATATTATGGTAGTAAAACAGCGAGTACCTGCTCCTTTTCGATTTTTTCCCTCCATTGTTTGTACAAATAGATCTCTGTTCCCTCCCTCTGTCCATTCCCCTTCCCCCCACATGCCCTGATCACTCAGACGAACATACCCACATCGTGCTTTTATCCAAACTGACAAGACAGGAAGTCCAATATTCTGACATGGTTTCTGAGCTTCTAACACACAACTGGGCTAACAGTCACCTCTGTCTACCAGGAACAAACTTTCCCTTTGCTCTAAGATCTGAAGTCTGGAGGCTTTTCTGGTACCTTTGGCCTCACCTTTTTGATTTAGCTTTCTTCTGTACCCTCCAAACTTCTTAACCACTTCGACGCTACCATTTGTGCTTCCTTCCACATGCCCTCCTTCCCATTTCTAGATTTTCTCACATTCGTGACAAAAGCGGTGCAAATAGATTTGAAGCAGCCCCCTTCTAACCCTGCCTGGAGTTTAAGGGGAAGGCTGAAGGCCAACCAACGTCACCATACATCCAGAAACAGGCAAAAAAAAAAAAAAACCAACAACAAAAGAATGGGTAAAAAACAAAACCCCGTCATCTCAAAATGAACCATGGTTCTACTTAAAGGGGGAAAAAAGCACAAATGAGAAAAGCCATAGGAGTTTCTATCAAAAAGTCACCTTTCTTTACCACAAATTAAATCAGACTTGTCAAACCTTTTCACCCAACCACAATAAATAAATAAATAACAACCAAAAACAAAGAAAAAGAGTACACTGACTGATGGAAATTTCACGCACAAATGTTTATTGAGAAAAATTTTGTTCCTGGCAGTGCAAGAGCATGAGACCACAAAGGCTAGCAAACTTCAGAAGATCTGCTGAAGGGTATTACAGGGTTCAGAAACTGCCCATGTGTTTAATAATTCTCTCATATTGTAAATAAACTTCTGACCAAATTAGTGTTGTTATTACTCAGACAGTGAGCTATGATATTCCCCTTACTTCTCACATTCTAACTCTCCATTCGCTGCTGTTTCTCCCCCAGTAGAGTATGAGCTCCTTGAGGGAAGACAGCACACCTTGCTCATCTTTGGACATCTGGCTGGCACCGGCTATGTGGACTTTATTCATGAATAAGCAGCTCCTTAAAGAGTACAGAGCCTGGTTCCCATTGGAGCACTGGGGCACTTCCCTCCCACCGCTTCTGGTTTTTTTTCTTTCTTCACACATTTGTCTGCTCCAGTCTGGCTTTCCCTTTTATAAACATATTTCTCTTCTTCACTTGCGATTTCCTTTTACAAAAAGCCTTTTATTACCTTCCAGGAAGTTAGGATTTGACCTTAAACCACAATCAGAGTGGCCAACTGCCTCCTTAATCTACATTATGTATAAGCCCCTGGTTTGCTTTTATGTTCACCGAAACTGTTCATGACTTCCTTGAGGGCAGAAACACAATCTCTGCGAGCCGTAACTGCCCCCTCCTACATGCCAGCACCTAAATCATTCTTGGCTCCAAATCATCACATTCCCTATTCCAAAGCTTAGGAGCCACCCAGAAATCAAACATAAGATTCTTAAGTGAAAGACAAAAAGGTATGCTCGTTACATGAAGGAAGAGATGAACTTAAAAAGGGGAGTGAAGAGGGGGAGGAGAAAAACTTATCTGTTAACAAATTAGAACTTTGGGAAGGAAACAGGCTCTCAAGCAAATCATTACATTTCCAGAGTTCTAAGAATTCCATGTTCATACATTAAAGGTAATGACAGGATTAAAAAAAAGATTTCATTTACATTCTGATATGGCAATTTTAAAACAAGGACTACGAGTATTACAAAGTGAGTGTTAAAAGGACAAGCATACTTCACGACAGCCCTCCTCAACAAGAGACTGCAAGGCCTGAAAATGACTCATAGTGGTAACGCATCACCTTTCAAGCGGCACATACTTCTCAAGTTTTGCCATCGCCATAAGGGTATGGTAGAGTGAGACCAGTCTGTTCCCGAATAGGAGAGAAAAATCATAAATTCTAGAGAGCAGCCAGCAAACATGGATAAAGAAAAAAACTAGCCAGGGGCGCCTGGGTGGCTCAGTGGGTTAAAGCCTCTGCCTTCAGCTCAGGTCATGATCCTGAGATCGAGCCCCGCATTGGGCTCTCTGCTCAGTGGGGAGCCTGCTTCCTCCTCTCTCTCTCTCTCTGCCTACTTATGATCTCTGTCTGTCAAATAAATAAAATCTTAAAAAAAAAAAAAAAGAAAAAGAAAAAGAAAAAAACTAGCCAGATCTCAGCATCCTACATTGTATCTAGTCTTTTGTTTTTAAACAAGCAAATTTAGCTTCATTTTTACAGTGAATGGTTTTGTTCAAGTGGCTAAGTGACATGGTTTGAGAAAAGAAAGGACCTTTCGCTCAGAATCTGTACTTTCCAGCAATGGTAGCCTCCTGTTCTGATTCTTAAGCAATAGAACCCCAATGCCCAGATGAGCAGAGGAATTTGGACTAGAGCTACAGAACAGACCCCAATCTCTGATCCATCTCCGTGCTTAATGACGTTTCACAGCATCTCACAAACCACTGCTTCCAAAGAAACCAGAATGATTCCCCAAGAAAACACAGGGAGCCAAGTGCAACCGTGAGGAAGGGAAATAAAGAGTTAATCCACTCTACCAACCCAATCTCCTTCTCAAAGACTCTGTCCTCTATGGTAGCTTGCCACGTTCCACCCAACAACAGCTGCTCATGATAATCAATGTCTGACAGATCAGAGAAAGCCCTTAATGTGTCGCCAAGGGGCAGTTCAACAGATGGCATGGTGACTTACAACCAGAATCATTAATTACACTCTCTTATTAGTCCCGGGGCACAGTGCTGAAAATGCTTCCTCAGTGAAAGATGAGCATTTCAGATAAATGACCGTCTGGTATTGCCTGTGAAACTCCCTTTAGGATTTCTGGTCAGTGTCGATTTCTAAATCTAAGCCATACTACTTTCACAACCATTTCCCATCTTCCACTTCCAGACTGGCTCATGAAGTTCCCCCAACCACTACCCAGCCCTGCTCCCGTAATCACTGCAGGTAAGGATAGGGTCAAAAGTGCCCGTCAATGCTTGCCCTCCTCAAGTCGCTAACTTCGTGGAAAAGCAAAGACGGTAATCTCAGCCACAGGACTAGCTCCGTTTCCCTCCCTCTGTGTCAGAGAACATGTTTCTTGAGTACTGGGGTGGGGAGGGGGGACTATCCCCTCCCCCCTGTACCTACTCTGGTGCTTCCTGTGATATATAACAGATTCTCTGACTGAAAACTGTCCTGACCCCTGAAACCGCTAGCAGCTTGGGACAAGCAAAGGTTCCCAAATGTCCACACCGCTGGCTGTGTTACGCAAACACTGATGTAAAACCACCGTGTACTTAATTACGAAGCCAAATAAATGCAGGGTTAAGGAACTAGTTCTAAAGCCCCTCCCCAAGGGCATTCAGGCTAATGTCAACTCAGGGTAGAAAGTAGCACCTTCTCAGCAGTTTGAGAACTGGACTCCATAAGCACTACTGTGAAGTTTCAGAACTGACTGCAGACAGAGCTGACAGGCAGACTACTTTCTGGCTTTAACCACAGCTTACGGGTCAGAAATCTCAACATAACCTAAAAGAAAGACAATTTTAAGTATTTTCCAAATCCTACCAAAAACACATGCTTTCGTTTTGCCAACCACCTGTTCTTTTCGTACCTCGATCTACAATTTTTTTTTAATGTGAGTTCAAACTAAAGTAGTATTGAGATCCTAAATGCTTTAAGGTTTCAATGCTTCTTGCATTCCGGTTTGTTCTTTCTTGGACACACAAAAACAGGACTTGTTTTCAACTCGGTTCAAATGACTATAATATCTGGTGGACCTTCTCAACTCATCAGTTTTTAAAAGACAAAAAAAATATGTTAACGAAAGCACAAAGAAACCTCTTGCTGTAGACTACAGGAAGGGAAACTTGGGCAGCTGGGTCTGCCTCGGCAGGTACTCACTTCTAGTTTTTTCTCCTTTTCTGACAGAACATCTTTCTGGTTCTGGGTGTACTCCACCAGCATCCGAGCCAGCTGGCGCCGGTCTTCCAGTTCTGCCGCCAGACGCCCGTTATATTCTGCTAGTAACAGACATGCTTCATCTACCGTTTTTGAAAGACGTTCAGCTGCCTCTTTGTCTATGTACAAATGAGACCAAAAAACAGAGACAATATAGAAATCACACAGGCATGATTGCAAACATTTCTGGGGGAGGCTAACAGTTTCTCTCCCAATGTACAGAGTCCAAGAATAAGCCAGAACCTGTAGACAAACAATGATGGGCTGACAGAGAAATCCAAAGGCACTCACTCCTGTTAACAAGACAGGACATCTCTGAATTACCTGATGTGAGGCAATTGTACAAGGAGGGGAATCTTGCAAAGGATTTCTAAATGTCTATTCCTGAAAAAGCTCTACAGACAAAACAAACAGAAAGAAATATTTAAGGTCATAGTCATACATGAAATAATTTTTCCTTGCCTCTGAGAGTTTCGAAAGCATTTTCATACTATTTTGTTAAGAATCCTTCACATGTTCTGCTGAAATACAAAAGCAAGCACTCATTTCTTGGGTGTGGAAACTAAGACCAAATAAAAGTTATAGGACAGGTTTGATACCATGTGGTTAGCAGAGGATTTGGGACTCAAAACCATGTCTGTAAAATGGATCTAAAATGTCTCTAAAATAGGACTCTGCCCCTTATACCATGTCAGTCTTAAACCTGGGCAGGAGCTCTCTTCTTCCATTCAAGAAAATATGGGGTCTGAGAAGAACTGACATTCTTTCAAATTCTTTAAACACGACCCACAGTAAGAAACACCCTTTATGCAAACACATAAAAAGAAATGAAAGTTTCATAAAACAACACTTATCCTGACTATGTGCAAAGTGTTCCATCTTCTACTCTGTGTTTGTCTGTCTGTTTTAATTTTCATCATTACTTACCAGACTTATTTCACATCCAATTAATGGGCTGTAACTCACTGTTTGGGAAAAAACTGTGCTGAAGTATCAAAGTATAAGAGAGGATATCCTTGGAAAAGAGGTGAACAAAGCTCAACATTAGGAAATGAGAGGAAGTGACAAAAGAATGATCTATATTAGAAAAGTAATGAAAAAATTAATTTCATGTGGATCTGGTGAAATTAGAGCTCTAATAATATGTACATATATATAAATGTATATATATGTAACACACACACACACACACACACACACACACATAGTATTTTTAGAAAGGCTTTTAAGGGTCAAAAGAGTAGATCAGTGCTTTGAAACCAAGATGCAAGGGCATCCCATTCCCTCTTTCCCACTGCAAGATTCTGCTGCTGTGACTGTCCCTTGTGACTCCCCACACCTCTCAACTTCCTTCTCTTCCTCAACCAGCACTATCATCAGCATACAAATATGCTGCTCCACCTTCTGTCCACATGTCACTCTCTGGCTACTGCCCCATTTCCCTGCCTCCTTTACAGAACTCCTCAGGAGAGCTGACCATTTTCCTGGTACCCACCTGGTACCCTGGTACCCACCTCTTCTCCTACCACTGTCACTTAACCCACTCCAATCGGACTGCTATGCCCCAAACCATCTAATTAGCAGAATAAATATGTGGGCTTCTATTATGCCCAACATCATTCTAGGCTCTCAGAGCAAAAGGGGACATAAAGGACAAAAACTCTCTGTTCCAAGGAGTTTACATTCTCAGATAAGAAGAGAAACAATAGAGTACATTTTACTTGTTCGTCAGCTGAGATCAGAATTCTAGAGAAAAAAAAAAGGCAGAGGAGAAAGCATGGGGCATTCAGAGGGAGAACTGGACTTTTAAGTGTGGTGGTCAGGATAAGCTTCCCTGAGATGGTATATAAAGCAAGGCCTGGAAAAAGTGAGAACGAGCCACACGAACGTGACTATTCGGGCAAGATCGTTCCAAGCAGAGCAAACAGCAAGTACAAAGCCCTAGAAGGGGAAAGTGCCTGGCAAGGAGCCCATATAACTGGAGTGCTCTGAGCACTGACTTCCATTTGAACAGATCACTCTGGTTATTTTGGTTATGTGAAGAACAGAGCGATGGCTAGGGGTGGGAGATAAGGAGGAAGCAGGGAGACCAAAGAGGAAACGACTACAATAATCCCAGTGAAGTTGTTGGTGACTTGCGCCAGGTAGTAGCAGTGGAAGTGGTGACAGTATCAGACACTGGGGTCAGACACTGGTTTTGGTCCTGATCAACAGGAATGATGACAGGGCTCATCTACTGATAAGGGGAAGACCGTGAGAGCAATGAATTTTGGGGAGAAGATGACAAGTTTGGTTTCAGACAGGGCAAGTATGAAATGGTTTTTGAGACAATCAACTATTAACACTAAGCAGAAGGCTAGATGTATGAGTCTCAAGTTCAAATGCCAAGTCAACAACAGAGATATAAATGAGGGAATTATTAGCCTAAAAATTATTTAAAGTTATCAACCTGGATAAGAGGAACTGTCAGTGAAACTAACTAAAGAAGAGTGCTAAATACTAAACATTAAGAGGTAACAGAGGAGTGAAGAAACTAGCCAAGGAGACTACAGAGCTACAGCCAGAGGGCGGTGAGGAAAGCTAGGAAAGAGTCCTACTTTCCTGCTGCTGCCACTGCTACAACAGATTTATCACCAGTTAAGTGGCTGAAAATAACACAAATTATCTTAGTATTTATTATCATGGCCTCTTCCTCCACCTTCAAAATGCATCTCAGCAAAGACTGTTCCCAGGGTTGTATCTCCTTCTCTACTACTGCCCTTTGGCCTCCCTCTCAGAAGGACCCTGTGACTAGACAGGGCCTACCTGAATCATCCAGGATACTCCTCCCCACCTCAAGATCCGTAACTTCATCACACCTGTAAGGACCCTACTGCCAGGGAAGATTACGCACTCACGGGTTCTGGGGATTAGGACACAGATGTCTGGGTTGGTCGGGGTGTTTTTATTCTGTCTACCGCACCAAATCAGAAGAAATGACCAACTGGGCCAAACGCTACTAAGATCAAGTCACAACAACCACAAGTAAATACTGGGTAAAATTCACCGCCAAACTGGCAACATGGAAGGAAATCATCAACAACACTGATCAGAGCAGCTTCAATAAAGCAGAACCAAAAGAGAATGGGAAGAGGGGAAAGGGAGACAAATAAGCACAGGCACTCTATTTAGAATGTTTTATTACAAAGAACAGAGAAATAAGGCAGTAACTAGAGGAATATATGGGTCAAGAAAAAAAGTTTTTCCCATGTGGGAAGAAAAGTACATGTTTTTGTGCTGTGCAGCATGAGCCAGTAGAGGGAAAACATGGACAACTGCTGGAGCACTGTCCTTGAGCAATGAGAAGGAACAGGGCTGGCAAACAGGCAGGGAGCTGGTTTAGAAAATGGCACGTTCACCCACAAAAGTGGGAAGAATAGTCAGCTTATGGGTATTATTTATTTTCCCAGCCACACCCACCTGGGCAGGTCCAGGAAAGAACAGAGGCAAAGCTGGATTTAGGAAAGGTGGCTGAGGGGGGAAACTGAGTTGTTATTAAATGGGTATAAAGTTGTAGTTTTGCAAGACAAAAAGAGTTCTGGAAATTGGCTGCATAATAATGTGAATGTGCTTAGAGCTTCTGAAGTATACACTTAAAAATGGTTAAGATTGTAAATTAGGTGCATTTTATTGCAATTAAAAATCAAAATAAAGGGGCGCCTGGGTGGCTCAGTGGGTTAAAGCCTTTGCCTTCAGCTCAGGTCATGATCTCAGGATCCTGGGATCAAGCCCCACATCCGGCTCTCTGCTCAGCAGGGAGCTTGCTTCCTCCTCTCTCTCTCTCTCTGCCTGCCTCTCCACCTACTTGTGATCTCTGTCAAATAAATAAATAAAATCTTAAAAAAAATCAAAATAAATTTATTAATTTAAAAAAAGTGGGGCACCTGTGTGGGTCAGTTGGTTAAGGTCCAACTCCTGATTTAGGTCATCATCTCAGGGTCATGGGATAGAGCCTTACATCGGGCTCATTGGGGAGTTTGCTTGAAATCCTCTCTCCCTATGAGATATGAGACCTTTAGGTCAGTGAAAACAGATAAATAAAACCACATATGTTACTAGCTTTCTGTTAATTTGCTCCCAATTTTTACAGACTATAATTCTGATAGTGAGAATAAAAGAGTTGATCACTATAATAACCTCAAAAGTTGGAATGAGCCAAGAGAAAAGCTGGAGTTTTGCCAGAAGACTACAGTGAAGAGGAAAGAGGAAAAACAGAGACTGAGGGCGTATGTAAGGGAGCGATTATAAAGACTCTGTGCTAAGCAGAGAAGAAAGTAAGGCCGGAGGGGAGTGGAGGCTGAGAAAAGGTGGAAGGAATGACAGACAGGAGGGTCCAACTGCCGGAGCTGGGGAAGGAAGAGTGAGCCCAGATGGTGCCTGTAGGATAGAGACTGACTCTGAGCTGTGTCCTGCAGCTAAGCATGCTCCTGACCTGAAGTCTTTACTCGGCCTGTACCCTCTGTCTGGGTGGCACTTGCTTCCCTCAGATATCCTCACGGCTTGCTTCCTAATCTTGGGGGCCTCTGATCAAAGGTCATCTCATCAGAAAGGTTTTCCCCAACCACCTTTAAAATAGAGGTGTGCCTCGGAGGTATTGCAGGTTCAGTTCCAGACCACTGCAATAAAACAAACGTCACAATAAAGGAGTCAAATGAGTTTTTTGGTTTCCCAATGCATACAGAAGTTATGGTTACACTATACTGTTCTACTAAGTGTGCGAGAGCACTATGTCTTTTAAAAAAAAAGTATACACTGTAATCAAAAAATACTTTGTTGCTAAAAAATGCTAGCTATCACCTGAACTTTCAGTGAGTCCTAGTCACTAATCACAGACCACTGTAAGGAATATAGTAGAAAAGTTTGAAATATTGCAAGAATTACCAAAATGGGACACAGAAACATGAAGTGATCAAATGCCGTGAAGAAAATGGAGACGACAATCTTGCCCGAAGACACCTAACCTCTCAAAAGCCTCAATTTCCTTCTATGCAATATGGGGATATATAGTCAGGGACCTCAAAAGGTTATCACAAAGAGAAGTACCTGACACAGAGCATTCTCTATGAATACTAGCTCGTGCTTCCTTCCTTTCAATTCCCATGCATATAGCAGGAATAATGTTACGTGTCCCTCCCTGTTTAACTGGCGGTGATCAGCAAGAGGGCAAAATGACATGGCAAACAATATACACCTGGCATTCTTGGCATTAAAGGCACTATCATCTATGGGGTGTGTGTGTGTGCAGTGTATAAATCACACAGCACTGAATCATAAGTTTTGTTAGCAAGAGGATCATGAATTTAATGTCTTCTCTCCTATCCCCCAAATCACATACACAATTTGCCCTTCGTTTTCAACAGACCTTACTTAAGACTGCCACAGGTTGTGGCATGCTGCATTTCTGCTTAGTTCCTAGAATCACTACTCAAGCATGGACTGTTTCAACAGCTATGCTGTTTGCAAAACCCAATACCACATTGAAGAAATCTGTATCTGCAGATACAAGCATGACCTAGGGTTTGATGCATTAGAGAAATGTCCCTCTTCCTTCACCTTTCGACCGAACTCTACCTTCTCACCTGTTATTTTTTCCAACAGAGAAACATCCTGCACTTCCTGGGGCAAAGACGCAATCTTCTGCCGGACAGTAGCATCCCCTGATGCAGCATTTTCCAGGTCCTGCAAAGCTTTGATCAGTTCCTCAGTCTGTACAATAAAAGCACAAACAACAATGTCCATTAAGACATACGGGATTTAAAGAAAGTTAGCCAGAATTAAACAGGAAAAAAAAAAAAAACAATTGTTCCTGACATTTACAAAAACACTGTGCTTGGTACCAGAGTCTATACTGAGGTCAGTGGTTAGATTGGACGATGGATTCTAAGAGAATGTACACAGTTAATTTTTCTAAGTCGATAGCAGGGCATGAAGAAATTCTACATAACCTGGAAAAAAACACAAAAAAACAAAAAAAAACTTTTTAAAGGAGCATGTTTTTGGCAACTTTAAAAAAAAGGAGCCTGGTTCATACTGCTTAGTTTCAAATAATGTTATGATTCCTAATACAGAATGGTCTGGTCTCCAGTATAGCATAAAGGCGTGTGTACCAGATGTTGAACAACTGTGTACTGACTGATTAAATGAAATGACAATGCCTACTTCAATTCTTTCTTGGATTTGTTTTACAAAATGAGTGTCACAAAGATGACAGTTTCCATTTTGGCAGCCACTCCCCAAATTAAATGTGTCAAACTCATTAATTACAAACAAAGGGGAAAAAGACGAAGAAAAGAGCAAACCAAGAACGCATACTCTGTACACTAAAAGGGTAATTTTAAATCATCAGAAAACAGGATGCCTGGATGGCTCAGTTGGTTAAGCATCTGACTTCAGCTCATCATGATCCCAGGGTCCTGAGATCAAGTCCCACAGAGGACTCCCTGCTCAGCGGGGAATCTGCTTCTTGCTCTCTCGCTGCCTGTCACTCCCCCTGCTTGTGCTTGCTCGCTCTCTCTGACAAACAAATAAACATATATAAAAAAAAAATCAGAAAACAATGAGTGCTGACAAGTTCGCCAGTTGATCATGACCCAGGAGTAAATAAGTGACAATGTACACAGTAGTCCAATTACTCTAAAAGTTAATAATTCAGGCTGGCCCCCTCGGAGGTTTTTAAATGCAAAGCTACATGGCCTAACACTGTTTTCACTTAACCCCTGATCTCATTCAACATTTTAACATAACACAAACCGGAACTGCTTCCTATTTACAGAGGCCTTAGCCACACCTATGTTTGATAAAGTAAAACTTTTAGCCAAAATGAGAGGCCGTGTAACTCAGTAAAGAGCACGGTCTCTGAGGTCAGTCACACCCAGAGTCAAATAAAGACACTGGGCAAGTTATTTAACATCTCTTTGAGTCTCACTTTCTTTGACAGTAAGTAAAATAAGTTAAGTAAGTAAGTAAGCAAATAAATAACAAAAATTAACCAATCACACAGAGGTTGAGCCAATTCATATGAAGGGCTAAACAACGCAAATATATAATCAAAAACTCATCTCTATTTTAATACTTAAATATGTCATAGTGTAGCAAATTTGTTATAGCCACATGGACTATCCTAGAAACTAATGAGCTGTCTACTTATATAAAATAACCATGCTACAGGAGAAAAGCCATGGCAGAGGGCATTCAAATATCTTTGTAGCATTATCCACCCTTTCACAAATATCTACTTTTTTGAGAGTATTTTCAAGTCCTAGGAATGAAACAAAACCAAGTCCAAATACTGTAAAACACATAAATCCATCCAGACTCATGGCATGCAAAGACCAAGGGGAGCCTGCTGCCTGGCAAGCTTTACTGGGTGGATCTTGCACCCAGTGCCCTAAGAGCTGCCCTCTGGTGGTTCCATACTGTTGGTCCCTGGCGCCACCCTGTGGCCGTAATCTTCAACGAGCGGTCCCTCCACCAAGCCACTGTGTCCTCTCTGGGAGTTCTGACATACCAAGAGGGGTCCTGCAGAAGGATCTTGGGGAGAGTAGCTTCCAGGGTAGTCATCATCCTCCTCGTCTTGTATCTGCTGAAAAGTTCGCTTCAGAGATTTCTTCTCCTCTGTTGCTAGAGGGAAGGAAAAGGGCACAAAATTAGGGTTACGAGGGCCCATGCAGGAAGGAGTCAAATGCTATGCACAATGGGCCACATGCAAAAAAAAGGGCAAAGGGGTGTACATTTCCAAAGATGGCTTAATGTTAACCTAGATGCTAGTTATTTTAAATTGATCGTAGTTCCGTACATTACTGAAGAGTCAAAAAATGGTCTCAGGTCTGTCATCTCAGATTGACTCACTGGAAAAAATACTACCAAAAACCATCATCTAAAAATGAAACTTACCAAACTTAATACATTTAAGTAAAAAGCTTATCTCTTGAAAATATAAGTTAACAAGAGACTCAAAGTGGTAAGAAACCCATGAGAATATAATGAAGCAAGCCAATGTATGGGAGGGTTCGTAGAAAATACACTGCATATAAAATGAAACGCTATACACTCTGCAAGATATGTCAAAAAGTAAAAACAGGTATTCCTCACTTTTCTAAAGCTTGCTTTTATGAAAGACCTATAGTAATAGTACCGGTTTTCACTAACCAAAAGAAATTCAAAGAGGATTTTCGCTTTCACAAAGAAAGGCACAAAGCGCAAACAGAGGTCAGCGTGTGTGCTGCAGGGAGTGGCTATGGAGGCGGCAGGCACCCCACGCGGCCAGCGCGCGGCCCTGGCCCTGCCGAGCTCCTTCCCAGCGACTACACTCAGCATCTCAGCATCACGCCTCCAGAGCTCTGAGCTGTATCTGTGAGCATCTGTGCTTTATCTCGATTTATTTTGTGCATCTGTTAGCAAGATGTGGCCGAAAGTATCAGAAAAGCCTGAGAGAGGTTATTTTTGGGTCTGGGAATGCTCAAAAAATTTTACATATAAATTAATGGTAACTGCTTCTTCACTTTATGCCATTTCAGCTTAGGAGATGTTTCATAGGAATGGTCTAATTTCAGATGGCAGGGAAAACCTGAGGTAGAGAGAAATCTATCAATAAAATTACGTCAGAAATTCCACACATCATTTCCTTTAAACTCTCCCTTTAAAAATAAAACTAACCTTATTTTATCTTAAAATTAAAGATAACCATTGCTGAGAAATAGGACTGATAGAATTCAGAGAAGTTACTTAAGACGCTATTTTAAAATTAACCACTTCTGAGGCAGTTTACATTTATTATTTGTATTGTATATTTTTAAATGGCTATGAAAATGTGCCCATTCCAAAATCGTTCCTTTTTTATCAAATTGGACAATACAGGGGCACCTGGGTGGCTCAGTCGTTAAGCATCTGCCTTCGGCTTAAGTCCTGATCCTCCTGGGATCGAGCCCGGCATCGGGCTCTCTGCTCGGCTGGAAACCTGCTTCTCCCTCTCCCACTCCCCCTGTTTGTGTTCCCTCTCTTGCTGTGTATATCTCTGTGATATAAATAAAATCTTAAAAAAAAAAACAAACAACAACTGGCCAATACAAAATAAAGGCCAAACGTCTGTGGGACGTAAGTCTAAATGACACAGTTAGGCTTGGGAAGTAAAGAAACGATGGTAACGTGTGGCAAGCACGGCAACAGTTTCTGTGCAACTCTGAGATATGGCATCTCCAGCTTGCAGGTGAGAAAACGGAGGCCCGAGAAGTTCAAAACTCATCTAAAGGCAGGACTTTCAAAATCTGTACTCTTTCCACTATAGTCAAATTCCTCAGCAGCACACTCTCATCTGTCAAAGGAGGAGTCACCATGCACCTGCCTCCGAAACTCTGAGTTACAAACAGAGTAACGTACGTTTCTTAATTAAACATTTTCTCCTGGAACCGAGGATGTAGGTCCTGTTCCAATCTTACACATTAACTGACCAAACTGCTGGACGTGAAAGCCAAGTCAGTACTTCCGGTTTTATTTTTTCTTAGCGCTTTGTTCCTCTGTTCTACTAAATAAAGGAAAACGGTAACATTTCCATCAAGGCAGCCCTCGCTCTGCGAGATTCTGGTAGGCACAGATTTGTTACCAAGGTTGAAACAACACCAGTCCCTCAACACCTGGTTCAAACTGCAGTTACCGTGGCATATTCACTCTGAGTAACTGCATGGACGAACTTGGCTGCTAACTTCACTCCACCAATCACTGCGTGAGTAACAGAAATACATCGCAATCAGTGGCCACATCACGCCGTTCAGGTCACTGGATGGTCACTGCACAGCTGTTATTTCAGTTCACAAATAAACAGCAAAGTGTTCGGTTGTGTTGTCTCCCGGGGATCAAATTCACATGACATTTCATTCAAACGAGTAATGAGAACAGAGAACTGAGTGAAAATGACAAAGATGAAAGAGGAGCCCAGAAACTAAAACTAAAGCTCATGCTAGAAGTGAACGGAATATAAAGGGAGCTGCAGAAGACTTGGGGGGCTGCGGGGACACTGGCTTGCCACCCCTTCCCAGAAACTCTAGGTCCCCAGGCAGAATCACCTGGTGAAAGCCAACTTATCAACATAAGAAATCGGTTGTGATGACAAGGACGACCGTGTCCCGAGGAAGTGATGTTGACAAAACTCTTCACATTATAGGAACTCTCCAACATACCTCCTGACACGGAGAGCAGTAAGGGTAAACCACTGAAAGCCGATCCAAACAACCAGGATGCTTGCTCCGCACCATGGATTACACAAGAAGGCAAGCTCTGGTCAAAGTCCTATCATGCAGTTCATTTCGAAGAATAAAGCACTTTAATTCTCAAAGTTTCTAACGTTTTATGTTCTTTAACGATCAGTGTTGCTATCTTTTTTGTTCCCTATAGATTTGTAATCAACCATGAGTTTTCAATTCCTTCATAAAAAAATTTTTAAAGTCATGGAACTATCATAACTCTTCTCCTCGATTATTAAGATCATTTTGCATGGCTTCGGCCTACATAGTCATTTTTACAATCCTGCGCTATGCAAAACAAGGACTGCTATATTTGTAGAACAGAAAATCTAACAGTATATAACTTGCATATGAAATATCTAACAGTACTTAGCACCACACTAGCTGCCTAATTAATGTGCAGTGTGTGTGGTATGACCCTCACTGACACTTATAAAGCATCAGAGTGGCAATGTGTTAGGAGTAGCCACTAAAATAAGCACATAAACAGAAACAATTTTTTAATATTTTTTGTCCATTTCCAAGCACCCAAAATAGTGCTCAATGAAATAATTGTTAAATACACTAAAGAAGGTAGAAAAATTACAAAACTTGAATCCTTCAGTTTCAAACTCTCATACAGAAGTTATATATAAAAACCGCACAGCACTTAACACCTCAGGACCCGCAGAATCACTGAATTTGGGCAGTGGAAGGCCTTAGACAGACCTACGTTGTTGCTTTCCTTTATGAGCATATATCCAGGCCCACAAGCTGCAGTTTGTCCAAAGTCAAGGAGCTCATCAGTCTACGTCTGGGCCCTATAGCCGAAGTCACCCACCCCCTATACTGGAGTACTTTTTACCACTTCATACTGGCACTCACTCATGGCATTACAAGACTGAAATCAAACTAATGAAAATAATGCAGGCCCATTTCTGTCCTTGGCCATCCTGATGGAAGCGGGTATAATAAGAGATAACCACCATCATCCTACGTCAGTTCTCTCCTATTTCCACTGGAAATGAATTATTCATCATTTTCTTCATAAGGCTTCTCCTTTCCTGAGCTACCTACTTACACTATGAACACTTCCACGGGCCCCATCTTCCAAATACAATGCCTTGGAGACCACCAGAATCTCTCCTAAAGTCCCAACTTCCAGCAGATTCTACACTTCTGAGATGTAGCTTACAGATCTCTCCTCTCTGTTCCTTCCCATCGCCTCTTAACAGAAATGTGCCCTTTTCCATGCCTTATGCAGACCACTGTCCCAACTGGTCTCCCTGACGCTAATCACTCCTTTTCCAACTTAGACTACACTCTTAAGAAATGAACGCCCGCAGGCCTCTACTTAAAAACCCAGAACGGCCTCTCATGATTTTACAATGTCCAGCTATGCTCAAAGCCCACCAAGGGTTAACAGCAGCAGGATCCTGGGCCAGCATCTTCCTCTACTCCTGCAGCACCCGGGCCTGCTGTGCTGTATGGCGCCAGCAGGCACATGCCTTACCTCTCCGATTGAAACATTAAGTATCTTATTCTTTGAATCCTTAGAATACCTAGAAAAGTGTCATTAGGCCTGAGTTGGAAACTTCTTGAAAGCAGAGGTGGCACAGAGTCTGGAAAATACCAGCGTTATACCAAAAATGACCATGTGCCTCCATTTACACAAACAGGACAGCCTGCTCTGTCAACTATCCCCTGACTCATGTGTACAAAGTCAGCAATTATAATGCCCGGCATTCTCAGTCTAGTCAGGCGGCTATTGAAAATGGCCGAGGAAGTCTGTCAACCCTACTTCTATCACTCAGTTTAAGACAAGGCACCCTCCCACTATCATTTCAGCTTCTGACCATACCATTTACACTTGCTTCTTGACTCAACCACTGTTTATAGTCTGAGCATAAACTTCAGGTGGCCCCAGTCTGCCTGTCCTCATATTGTACACTCTCTACTCTATCCTCCATCCTGTTCCTGTGTCTCTAGTGGTCTTATACTCAGCTAACATTCAAGTAATCCTGGTTCCCTAAGCATTTCTAATATGCCTCTTGGATACCTGACTGTGGTAGACTTTCAGACACTACAGCAGACTACAAAATTAACTTTGAGGCAAAAAGTTGACCTGAAGGTTCCTGAACACTTTATAAAATGCAGCCATCTACTTGTAAAGCTAGGTCTTTCAAGGAATCCACTTGAAATTTTCTGGGATTAAAAAACAAACAAACAAACAAAATAAAACCGATAAATAAAAATTAAAAAAAAAAAAACAAACAGAAAAACCCCAACACCCGCAGGTTTTATATTACTTTTATTAATGAGAAACGAATCAGGAAATATTGTTTGCAATAGCTCCTGCATTCTTTGTTCTCTCTCTGCCAAATAAAGGAAACTGTAAAACAGAACACATTAAACTTTACTCACGGAAAGAGAGAGCCCTGCAGCCAAGGTCTGATGCTGGACGTACCGTTCTAAAAGCATTCCACCAGTATCATCTCAAATTGAGTGGCCAGCGCCAGCACCAGACTTAAACCTGGGGAAGCTGGGCCTAGAGCTTGTGCACTTAACCACTATGTGAGCTAATTTTGCACAAAATCTGGGGGACTAAAAATACTAACAACCCTCCTCCTACGTTTACCACTGGATCATTGAGAAATTCAGAATACTGGATATTAGAAACAGGGAATAGGGCTCAAATAAAAGTCATATCATCACTTCATTAATAACATTTACCCATGTTATCTCAAGTAATCTTAGGACAACACTGTGAGGTGTTATTACTAATAGCCATATGGCACAGTGAAGAACCTGAAGCTCAGAGAGATCTAATGCTATGCCCAAGGTCACACAGCTTAGAAGTGACAGAGCTGGGATTCATCCTCTGAAAGCCTGGTTTCAAACCCCTGCTTGGAAGAGTTAAACTAACTATACTAAGGTCCAGAAAAGCTGGGTGACCTGCTCATGAATTCATACCCTAATTCAAATCTACTGAATCCATGTGCTTCCAGGAAAAAAATACGGTGTGAAGAGCACAGGCTTTAAAGTCATATAGACCAGAACATGAATTCTCCACTTATTAATTATATCTATTTGGACAAATTTAACTATACCCTTTTGAGCCTTAGTATCTTCATCTGAAATATGAAAATAATACCAAATTCATAGAGGAGTTGTAAGAATCTAAAATAAATTAACATGAAAAGCAGCCAACAGACAGGCTGGAACATAATAGGTGCTCAATAAATGTTATTTCCTTTGCATCTACCTTTCTTTTCTAAATCCTTCCACAACTGTAGGATACTGTGTCACTCATGTGTGACTTAAGTAAATAATGAAATTCCATTCAGTCCAGTGACAGCTTGAGTATGCCCAAGAACAGAGAGACAACTTTAGAACCCTGGGTCCTATACAAGGGGAAATGGGTACATACACCCAAGTTCTACTTTTCTAAAACAGTATTTTTAAGCTCTTTTATTCTCTACTGTCAAAGTTCCACAAGAAAATTTTTATTTCAAAGGTAAATTCTAGAGTTGTCTCAAGACAAAGAAATATCCATGAGTCAAAGCTGAAATATAAAAGGACTATGTAATTTTAGAAATAAACTTCTGGAGAACTCATCAATATTGTCAAAGGACTGAGGTAAAATATTATGATAATTCAGGTCCAAAGAAGATGGTGAGGAGATAGATGGAGTTAGCTCAGACTAACACACGTGTTGGAACCTTTGGTATATGTTTCCATCTTTACAGCACAAAGATAGAGAAATCACCTTAGATCAGCTTTATCCTCCACATGGAGGAATGACTGCCTCAATGGCTATTAATGTCTAGGCGCTCAAAAAAATCAGAAACCCAATGGAGCTATTTTCAAATCTACCACTTCCACAAACTCCCCAAATTGCCGGACTGCTCCCGAGGGGCGAAACTATTTCCCCACCCTCTGCTCAGTCCTATAGCATCTAGCATAGCCACTTACTCAAAGCACATGTCTGGCAAATGCTTGTCGAATTGAAATGCCACACTTAGCTTCCAATATTGTCTTTCAGAGTTCCCCTACCTGCCCAAAGTGTTTTAAAAAATCAGCACTGTTTACCAATGAAGTCTAAGAGTAGAGAAGAGAATGCTGAATAATTCTCTAACATTGTCCAGAACACCTCCAAAAGATACAATACAAACACGACCAGAATCCAAAGTAGGGAACACCCTGCTTTTCAGAAGCTACCTCCAGAGTGACTTCAAAACTGTTTCCCATCAACTCTAAATAAAACAATGACCTACAGTCGAAAGCACTTATGTCCTTCTTACAATGCCTCTAACTTGTAGTTTTACGGGAAAGTTGCCCCATCTTAAAATGCATGTAAATTCAGACCTGGAAGATCTCATGAAAGGTACAAAATAAAGGGTTGCTGAATGAGTGATATTATCAGGTAAACTAACCATGGTTAAATGCTATAGCAGAGGCATATGCAAAGTACCAGAGGAACATGGAGGGAAGGGCTACATGTGCCTAGACAAGGGAAAATGACCAAATGAGAAGAGCATTCCTAAAGAATGAGTTCACCACACAGTGAAAACAGCAGAGGACATTTCAGGCAGAGGTAACACCAGATGCAAAGGAAGAGGTACCCTGAGAGCACCCAGAAAGGAAACTGTTGGGTATGGCCAAAGATCATGGTGTATGTGAAGAAATGGAAGAAGAATCTGGAAAAGTAAATGAGTTCAGATTACAGAGGATCCTAAGTACTACCTCAGTACTTAGACTTATCCTTCCAGACAATGAGTTTGTGTGCAGTCAGATCAAATCTGTAGCTCAGAAACACATCATGCCAACTAGAATTAAACCATGCAACTAACCACAAACCTACAAACCAAATAATGTTTGCTCTGACTCCTCTTTAAAGAAAAAGAAGCTCTTCAAGAGGACTCAGTGAGGTTCACACACATACATGTACATACTTCTGGAGGATATTCTGGGCTCAGTAAAGACCAAAATCAATTACAGACAGCAAGATGACAAACATCAAAAGCATGTTCCAAAACCACACCAATATCTAATGAAACCAAGCTCTAGAAGGGCTTAGGGACGTATTCAAGACCCCAGAGTAGTCAGTGGTAGGGCCAGGGCAAAATCTTAGTCCAAGGTGCCTCCTCGTTCCCCAAAACTAAACAATGTTGTTGTTCCTTTCCCTTGTGCAAGGAAACTCTCTGCCAAGGCAGAAGAGAGCCACAGAGAATACACAGCAAAGTTAAGGGTGTGAGATGATGGATAGCATGAATACTAGAACCAGGCTTACACGCTGCGAGCACTACATAAATTCTCACCATCATTTATGATCATCTCTCTGAAGAATCATACAATCGTTGGTGGTTCACAGCAACCCCCACTGCAGCTTTTCATATGTGATTCGAAAGTAGGCAAAGACCAAGAGCTGTAAACATGTGGTGATGTTTCTACCTTTGGGGGGAGGGCTCTTGGAGTCCTCCATAGACAGCTTCAGCTGCTGTATGAACTCGCCGCCATACACACTTCTTTCTTGCCAGATGTTCAGCAATCTTTCTAAAGGTTTTTTACAGCCTTCATCTGCCTCTCTGCCCAGAAAAGACGAAAAGATAGATATAAGCTTAAGATTTTTTCTGTTTAATTAGGACAGACCTACTTTAAATATAACAACTGACTAAATGAGTTACATATTTAAACACAGATGGAAGAGTAAGACACACATTGTGATAAACAGATACCCAAAATTTGACCCAAAACTACATTCTTCCTGTGGTGTGTAGGGAAGACAGAGGGAGTATGTTATAGAAGTAATCTGTCCTTATCTCCTTTGAAAGATGGGGCAAATAGGGCAAAAAGCCAATCGCTGATTGTTACAGAGAATTATCAAAAATTGATCATCTCAAATGTGACAGCTTGCTTTATAAGAAGACATTAATCAAAATGTAGGTCCAGACATTCTGCTGGAAATTAAAGGGAGCCAAAACCTTTAAGGGTAGGAAAAAAAAATGATTAAAAAAAAAAAATGGGGAATAAATTCACCATGACCCATCAATGCTAGCACATCAACATCTCTACATGTCTTGTAAATACAATCATACACATATACCAAGACTGATCTCAACTTAAATTAACTAATTCATCATTATTTTAATTCTGGGTTAGGTATGTAGTCCCATTCTCACAAAGGTGTCTAGTGGGTAATCTTAGAACACACTGGGCATAACAAAGCCCTTTGTAATTTATATCTGAGAGAAGCTATACCTTTTTTTTTTTTTTCTGACATACTGTACTCTGGAAACAGAGTATTTTCAATGAGATAACTAGCACTCAGTGTGCAACAGCTGCTTACTAGAAAACAAGAGACACCAAGTGGAAGAGTGTGGGAAGACTTTCTGAAAGGAAAACAAATTCTCTCACCATCCATGTAACACCATGTTACTATGACTTGTTCTGGTTTATAAAGCTGTCTGGATGTCAGTGATCTTACTCTGAGTGACTTCCAACAAGAAGGGATACACTGACACCTTAGTTTCTAAGCCAAGATCTTTAACAGGAACTTCAAGAAGAAAGAGGTACAAAGGAAATATGCCCTGATGGCACTTTTCTACAATTTACGGCAACACTCAAGGTCACCTGAGGGTTCAGCTTGAGCTGCTCAGATGCATCATTTAGGAAACAGGAGTGGCAAATTTTACTGCCATTGGAGTCAAAGTACTAAATCAGAGTACAAAAAAAAAAAAATTTTTTTTTTTTTTTGGTCAAACTTTTTTTTAGTCAGAGGTGAAGGGAGGAAAAAAGGGAAAAAATTTCAATGGTAGTTTATAAAACTTAGAACTACGACTGAATCATTTGATACTGGTGATAAAAACACTCCACCTCCAAAATATATCTAGAAACAAACTGCTTCTCACCCTTTCCTCTCTGTCAAGCTGGTCCAAGCCACTATTTTCTCTTGCCTGATTTCTGGTCTCCCTGCTTCCACCCTTACCCTCCTACAAACTAATCTCAGGCTTTAAAAATTCTGTTGCATCAAGGCAGATTATATCACCCTTTGGCTCAAAACTTGCAATGGTTCTTCTCATTCTCCCCCAAAATAAAAGTGAAAGTTCTCATAAAGCCTACAAAGCCATTCTCAACACAGCTCATTATTTCTCTGGCCTCACCTAACCTCTCCCTTCTTCACTCCCTAATAGTTACTCTGGCCCTCTTGACTCAGGGCCTTTGCCTGGAACCACATTTCCTTACAGGGCAGCATGGCTCAAGCACCCCTTCCTAATTTCCCTGTTTAAAATTATTGCTCCCCACCCCTACGCTTAATTTTTCTCCATGCAATTTAGCTTCTGATATGCTATTCAGTTTACTCGTCGTTTAGATTCTGCCCATCTGAATGCAGCTTCTGCAAGGGCAGCGATCTGTCCTCTCCCCCCGACACACACACGGCGACCCACCCTAGCACAGGCACAATATTGGCCTCATTGTAATCTTTCTAGAAAATTTTTAGTTAGATTTTGACAGGCCATACAATTAGTTACCTTTCAAGAATCCTCCTCCCACAAGAAAGCCATTTGTATCATGCATCAGCTAAACATTCACCTGCTCATTCAATGAGGTTTATGAAATACTGCGCTTGTAATACAAAGCACAAGGCCTAGAGCCTGACCCAACAGCCCCTTCCTTTTCCACACCTCAACCAGGGCCCTCAAACCTATCTACCCTCTGCCCAGAACTTGCTCTCTCTCACACATTGCCTTTGCTCATACTATCTCCTCTCCTTCGAATGGAACCCCTAAAGGAGAACAAGAGGAAGAGGGAGAAGTTGGGAGCAATGCAGGTGGTTTAAGTATATACGGAGTATGTGGAAATAGCAGAAGAATCTGGAGGGACAGAGTGGAATTAGATTATGAGGGCCCTGAACACCATATTAAGTATGTGGCCTTTATCCTGAAGGAAACGGGAAGTCTCAAATGTATGTCTTAGAAAATAACTAGTATAGCCAAATCACAACTTACAGAACTTAACTGGTTGATACTTTTTATAACCTGTTCTCTGCAAATTCTCTGTTCACTTAATACAAAGAGAAACCTATCATGAAAGGGTGGGCACATAATGCAGACTAAGTATTTGGGACTCGATTTAGACCAAGACTGGTTGGGGGTAGAGATTCAGGCACATTACTGTATGCGATGGAAACTGATACACAAGCTGCTAACAAATGACACAAAGTCATTTTCAAAAGGCTTTTACCACTTAAGGCAAAAGTCAAATAGGAGCTCGAGTTTAACTGGTGAATGTAATTAGGATAGGCTAATGCCTGGAGCAATATCATAAAAGTCAAAGTTTTGCCAGGTAAGTTTCAAGGCTACAGATAGAACACTCTACAAGTCTTTTTACTCAAGAGGTTTTGCCTTAAGTAGCTCCAACGAAATGAAATCCCATTAGCACTTGGAAGTGGGTACAACTAAAGCAATAAAGTAGTTTTATAACAGACGGAATTATCTTTCCAGGTTGCACTAACTCCATCCTGAACTGAGATATCTTTAAGCGAAAAAACACCAAAAAGTCCTTGCTATTAATCAGTGAGTAAGCAGAAAATGATAAGGAAGTATAACTTAAACACAATTTAATTAATTTAATTATAAATTCAATCACTGCAAAACTGATCTGAAAAGTATAAACTGCGCATTATACACACAGAATTGCTGCTTGAAGTGCCAGCTGAGGCCTCACCAAGCTTAAACTTGGGGGCCTTTTCTTCCTCTCTAGTTCTAATGGCACTTCCTTGGTACAGCCACTGTAATTTGTGTGTTTCTGTCTTATCCCATGCACAGTAGCGCTGTGATAAGCCTACTAAAAGTAGGAATTCTTTCTAAATATCCCCAGCACTTCCAACAGAGCCTCCTGTGAAACTGAAGCAGAAATGGTCCGTTGCCAATCATGCAGACAAGAGCGTAGCAAGCCTGAGACTGCCACCCTTAGAAAGGCCTGCTCATCGCACTGGCCCTTGGCTGGCATCTGGAAACTTGGGTTTCAGGAGTGTTCCTCTCCAGTTGCCTAAGTGATAATCAGGGTGGTTTACTGTGCCTAGACCATTTGTGCAAACAATATAATTTATGCTGAATACTTGCTTTCTTTCTGAGAGTTGGGAATTTTGGCAGAGGGTACCTGTGGCCAACGCCAATAAAAACCCTGGGCACTGAGACTCTAATGAGCTTCCCAGGTATACAACACTTCACCCATGTTGTCACTACTCAAAAATGGAGGAATTTAGTATGTTTTGTGTAACTCCACTGTGAGAGGACTCTTGGAAGCTTATACGTGGTTTCCTCTGGACTGCACCGATTCAACTTTTCCTTTGCTGATTTTGCTTTGTATCCTTTCATTGTAATAAATCACAGCCACAGTAGACACAACCATATGGTGAGTCTTGTGAGTCTTCCTAGCAAGTCACCAAACCTGGAAGTGGTCTTGGGAATCCATGACACAATAGTAAATAAGTGTGTATATGGTGGTAACTCCAAATTTATGTCTCCAGAAATTAATTTCCTACTGAGCTTCAGACTATCTATCTACATCTACCTATCTGGCATCACCCCCTTGGGATATCTACTAGCCACCTCAGACTTAGCATGGTCAAAACAAAACTCCTGACTTCCTCTACCACATCTTTTCCCCAAACTTGATCTCAGCATATAGCACCAGCAGCCATCCACTTAGTCATGTCAAAAACCTAGAAATAATCTGATTTCTTTTTTCCTTCATTAGCAGTTCCACTAAGCTCCCCCAAGTCTCATCAGTTTTAGTTGGGGGGGGGGCGGTGAAGCAAATCCATTCACAAAGTAAACATTTGATAATCTGGAAGCTATTACTATCTTCTCACTGCCCTGAGTCCTATCCAATGTCATCTCTAGGTTGTAGCAGAGCAATACCCTTCATATTCCCTTGGCCTTTATAAGCCATTTTCCACACCAAGCCACAGGGACCTCTTAACAATGTGATGGAATATATCGTTCCCCTGCTTAAAACCTGTCACTGACGACATCCCACCAGAATAAAATTCTCTCCCAAGGCTTTTAAGACACATTTGACTGGCACCTGCCTACCTCTCTAATCTTACCCAGATACCGCTTTTCCCTTTGCTCAACATATCTGTTTTAGCCACACTGGCCTTCATTCTGATGCTCTTAACATGCCAAGATTATTTCTACCTTAGGTTCCTTTTAATAGCTGTTTGTTCCTACTTTGCATGATTACCTCAAATGTCATTTCCTTAGAGAGGCCTTCCTTCACCACACTAGAAGAGATCCGACTCCAGAATGTCATTCTATTTCATTATGTCCATATTATCACCCTCTGAAAGTATCTTGCTCCTTTATTTGTCCTTGCCTGCCTTGTTCACTGCTGCTACTCTAGTGTCTGCATCAGTTCTTGGCACATGGAAGGCACTCAAATATATGTTGAATAAAAAACAAAGTGCACACAACTATCTCCAAACTCAGGAGAAAGTAAGAAGGCATCTGTGTGGGGAAAAAAGTTCAAAGTCGAGGTAATTAAACTACTATTCAAATTAAATCTAACCTATGAGCTTGGTGGCTTCCTCTGACTTGAGAGGTTTGGTTTGGGTTTTTTTTTTGGGGGGGGGCAGTGAGGGGGAGGTAGGAAGTTATCATAAAAAGATTCCTCATCAACTTTGGTCCATATTAATGGGTCCACTATCTTTGTTCATCAACTAGGCACAGAAAACCAGAGAGAATACTTCTTACTATGGATAGGGTACATCAGGATTGAAGTCAAGCAACCGGCTTTTCTAACAATGGCAGGAGGAAAGGGCTTAGAAACATGGGGATCCTGAATCTAATACCAAAAAAGGACCTTGAAAGAACAAGAAGAATGCAAAATATTTAAAAAAAAAAAAAAAGGGGGGGGGGAAATTAGAGCTTTTTTTTTTTTTTTCCATTGAAAAAGACCAGGTTTACTTTCCACATTAATGCCATACACAGAATCGGCCAAGACATTTTTACAGTGCCTCCTAGATAGGCTTTAAGATGTTAGACCAAATAGAAAATTCAATCCTAGTACAGCCCACTCACATTCCCCTTCTCCTAGTCCTTTCTACTTACCCTTTCTGGTTTGGTGGGCAGTTAACAATTATTGTTCAATTTTAAATAAAAATGTTATGTGTACTATTCTTACAGGAAATTATTTTCGTCAATTTCCTATACCCTAATTAATTCATTCAACAAATATTTACTGAATCCTTACTATACCAGGGTAGACCACAATGTTGCCCAACTCCTGGAACACCAATCACATCAAGGCTACATAAATGGTATTCCCTAAAGCTATGAAACCTGACGGCTCTATGCCAGACACTTTAATAGGTACCTGGGATACTGTGAAGAACAAAAACGGTCCTTCTTGTCACAAAGTTTACAATTTAGCATACTTCTATAACTGAGCAAAGACCGGGGACTGGGCACCGTACTACAAGTTTTCAAACAGACTGGTGTACTTCCGACCCACAACAACTTCAGTGAGGGAAGTGGTGTCGTCCCCTTCTAACCAGTTAGGAAACTTGTAACTGAACTGTTAGTAAAAGCTAAGTAACACGTCCAAGGTCACTGAGACAGTGCTGGAAGTAGAGCTACAGCCTAAGAAACTGAACCACATCTCCTCAAAACAAGAAAATGCCCGGCTCCAATTTGAGATGGCTATCCCAGTAGTCTGTTCAGGGTTCAGGATTGTTTCCAGTTCAGGATTGTTTCCAGCTCATAATGCATTCTGCTTCTTCGGTATCCATGTTCATCTCAAGTTGGGGCCAGCTACATCGCTGACAAACAAAAATCTTTTTCCCATCTTTAGAAAATTAGGTATCATTTCTTTCTTTCGGATTTTTCATTTTATCCCTTCAAACTTCTCAAATCTCTCATGGAATGCTGGGCTCATTTATACGCTTGAGGCCTTTCACGTAGACTTCAGACCTTAGAACAACTTTGTTTAACGAACTGGCCTCCTTTTTTAGGCCTTCCCAATTTCCTTCTGCAAAGATGTTTATGTGTTTACTAAGTAATATTCTAGTGGAAAATAGTTTTTCTTTGCTCCTCCTGGGCAACTAACTTGTGTCTACAGAAAAGCAGTTTGTTTTTAAATAAAAGAAGTGATTTATAGAAGTTTTAATCAAATGAATTTCATGTGATATTACTTACATATGTGCTCTATACTCTAGTCTTCTTGTTCACAAAACACAATAGTGACAGAGATTTAGTATCTACTTTCCACACTGACAATTATTATCTTTGCAGTTACAGTAATAACCACTATTTTTAGTAAACGAGACATCTAGACATCTAGAAGGAAATAAGTAAAAACGAAGGCATAACCAACTAATATCTTGCTATTAAGGTTTTGTTGCTGGAATGTTTCCTGGTACTATTTAGCTTTGTGTTCTGACCATAAGCTAATGAGACAACTCAGCCAAAACAAGGAAAACACCACATTCAAAAAATGAATTCAATAAATGAATACAGCTAGGAAAAAAGATGTTTTACAAGTGCTAGACTCAATCCCTTCAATGCATCAAAATGTTTACACATCTGAGACAGCTGAAGGGCTCAGCAGAACATAAAACTGTAATTTGGCCTTTCCAACACTCTGTAAAGCATACCCCTGTAAAATATGAAGTTGTCAATTTGCAAAGGCTCTCCCAGAAAAAGAAAGAACAGTAAGGAAGAAAGGGTAATGCATTTAAATGCCAAACCAAACAAAAAATCCAAACATACCTGGCAACATGAGAAAAAGCATCCACAAGGACAGATTCAAATTCTCTAGTGAATTCAGGTCCTTTCCTTTTACTGTTTTGGATGACATCATTGGCTAAGTACAGAAAAGTAAGCTTTCTATTTGATTTGGCTGGAAAAAAAAAAAAAAAAGATAATTTAATTTACACCAAGGAAATTCTCAATGCACAATTCTTCTGCCCTAAGCTACTCCTGAAGAATATTAAAACAAGTATTATTTACTTGAGACCAGGCTTCCTTTACAATTGAAACAACAACTTAAATAACTTGTTGACATCACTAACAAAAAAGGTTTGAGAATACAAGTTTGAAAAACAAAATAAAACAAGAATGGGCCATCTTCATTTCTGTAATATTTTAACCAGAATAACTGATGGTAAAATAAAGATAATCCAAAGAAAACTCCTAAAGGATAAGCAGTCAATATCCTCAAGAAGACATAATAAAACCAAGGTTTATTCTATTGCAAAGATGAGCATTTTTAATTAACTATTAATTACCAAATACTGCAGAATGAAGACTGAGCCAGGTTTCAGTTTTAAAATAGATTCTTGTAATTTATGTTTCTACACTGAGAATTTCTCTGAACATTCCTATAACAATCATCAATGATAACTCTACGATCCAGAGAATCTCTAAATGCACGAATAGATGTTTATCTCAAATACAAATACATATTAATGCTACATTATTATTGAAAATTTAAAGACGTCTGAATTCTGGATATGCAAAATTATGGCTCCCACAGAAACCATAATTCTCTCTTATACATACTAAATGTAGTATTTCCTATTACTCTGTATGGCATCATATATTAAACCATAAAAACCTCATGTACTATGTCTGAGTTACAGTTGCTTGGGGGAACATTACTGAATTTCCTGGCTTCTATGCACATAACTTCTCAACCATAAAGTTACATCACTATCATTTTTGGTCCCAGTTTTCTTTTAAAAGAAATAAATAATACAATCAGTCCAAAACACTAAGTTTTCTCCTATGCTAAAATACCTGAAAAACTCAAGCAAGCCTTATATCAACCTTTACATACCTGAAAAACTAGTCCTTAACTCTATTCCTCTCAGAAACCACTTGTTTCTTTTGATATGCACACAGCATGTATAAATTCTGACACAGCAGGCATAAGATGTGACATTTTTAAAGGTAGCTACAGAAGAATAACCCAAGTTAAAAATAAGATTTTTAAAAGCATGTAATAGTTTAAAATGATGACTTAAAGTATTCATAAAATTAAATATGGATATCTTGAGCTGTATTAACCTTCTGGTAATAACCTAGTTTGCATGGCTGACTGACGATAATATTTAATCTTTAACAACTTTAATTATTATTCAAAAGCAGATCAAAAGTGTCAATAGTTACAATATTCTACCATTGCTACAAAGGTATCTTATAGCAAAGGCTTTTCTTTTTTTTAAGTAAACCTTGTCTGGGATGTTGCAACAAGTAAAACTACCAAGTCCATAATGTTATGAGTTAACAGTTTCCAAAATACAACAGAACTTCAACAAAGGTAATTTGACTAAGTGATGCTTTACAAATGCCATGTATTTCATGTTTAAAAACCCAGACTCCACTGTATAAAATGTCAATTTCGACAATTAAGACATGATACATTTTTTTCAGTGCTGCAAACATGATAGCCAAGAGGCCAGAGAGCCAAAGTTTTCACTATTTACAATGCCAATTAATTTTCATCATCCTCAAACTTTGCAATGGGGATTTAGTCAAAATTTATCCCTCGACATCCAGCATCCTGAAGCCAACATGAGTACATGTGTGTAAAGATCGTAAGACAAAGCCCAGAACACTTAAATACTCACACCCTCTACTCTAGACCCAGGTGACAACTCACTTATTCAGATGTCTTTCCAATATGACACAGTAGATCCTTTCACTCCCTATCTATGCCCATTCCAAATGGGATGGAATAGTTACTAGGCAAAATTTATATAACTGGCTGACCAAAAAACTCAACTTGTTTAGCTGGTTTTGACGTCTAAAAAAGTTGGGGAGGGGCTATTTATCTGCATTCAGGCCAACATATAAAAACATTACTAAAAAATATTCATCTAAGGAGCATTTTACATCAAACTTCACGATAAAGAAAGGAAGTTCTACCTAGGACAGAGCCCAAAGCGATAAATTTAAGAATTATTCCTAGTGGAAAGACAGTAACCCATCAAGAATAAAAGTAGCATTTAAGCAAAAAATAGTAATTTCTGTAAACCCCGTAAATATTTTGAAGGCGATTCAGACAGAGTCTGTAAACATCTTAGGGAAATGACTTGACCAGATAGAAATGTCCACTTCTAAAGACTCAGGGTGGGCCAGAATCTAAGGGGCTAGTCAATTTGAACATAATGGCACAAAATCTTTTTCCACTTCTGTGTGGGAGCATTCTCTATTCATGAATGAGGCCTGGGTTATTAGGAAGCTGTATCCTGATGCTTGGAAGAGCATCTCTACCTTGGCACTATCCAATATGGTAGCCACTAGCCACATATGAACACTTGAACACTTGAACTAACACAATTATATAAAACTTTTGTTCCTTAGTCACACATTTCAAGTGCTCAACAGCCACACGTGGCAAATGGCTACGCTACCTTGCTGGGCATTATGGATATAAAACATTTCACAGAAAGCTGTAGATAGTGCTGTTTGGATCCTCTACTCAACCATGAAAATGACACTGGAGACCACAATCAAATTTTTTTTTTTTTTTAAGATTTTATTTATTTATTTGTCAGAGTGAGCACAGGCAGACAGAGTGGCAGGCAGAGGCAGATGGAGAAGCAGGCTCCCGCTGAGCAAGGAGCCTGATGTGGGACTCGATCCCAGGACGCTGGGATCATGACTGGAGCCGAAGGCAGCGGCTCAACCAACTGAGCCACCCAGGCGTCCCTCCTAACCTATTTTTAAACTGTGTTAAAAGGTACCATGCTAAATGCTATGGGCATTACAAAGAAACAAGAAGACTTAGTTTCTCACACAAAACACAAATCTAGTGAAAAAACAGAACTACTAAGATGAATAAATGCTAAACTAGTGTGGGATGGGGTGGGATACAGTGATTAATTCGAATCAACAAAAGTGCTATGGGTTTGGTTGGAGTCAGACAATCACCTTCACTTATTAAAGGGGACTGAGGCACTGGGTACTTGAAAGCACAAATTTTGGCATTGGAGGGCGCTGGGCTGATACTCCAGCCATATACCCTAAACAAAGCACTTAATCTCTCCTTATCTTTACATTCTCATCTATAAAATGAGGAGATAATAATGCTGGTCTCCTTAAAACCTAAGGTTTCAGGAAACTAGGATCATGAGATTAGGGTTAAATGAGCTTCACAGATGAATGCAGTCTCTGTTATTTTCCATAACTCAAATAGGGTACAAGTAGGAGGATTTGTGGGCTCTAGGCTCTATTGGGACCCCTATCTCAGTATGGCACATACTTGTGGAAAGGGGAGTCTGTGCTAGAAGGCTAGAACCGGGTCTCCTCAAAGATTCTTGGATTTTCGTGTCTGACAGCCTGATGTAATCTAGCCTCACCAGCTCGAAGGCAATGAAAATACCACTTCACCATCCAGGTGGGCGTCTCCATCTCACAGATAGCGGAAAACACACGTAAAGTTACTTCCTACATTATAAAGGGCCTACGACACAGAGGCTGCCCAAAGTGGTTCTAAGCTCCATTTCCTCAGCTTTCTGCTATGGAATCATTAGGAGAACAGCTGCGAAGGTCCCTACCTTCCCCACCAGACTGTAAGCAACCTGAAGGCAAAGACCATGCCTCACATTGAGTAATCAGTAGTCCCATTTCACCATTATTTATGAAGCGCCTATACTGTGCTTGACCCCATGCGGGATGTTCATTTGTATTTGGATTACCCTGTTTACTCCTTACCACAGCAAGTTGTTTGAGCCTCAGTTTTTCCTCATCTGCAAAGTTCCTACTCCAGAGAACTCTGAGAATTTAAAAAATGACAATGTATGTAAAGATATCAGTACTGCACCTGGCACATAATTAAAGGCACAGTAAATACCAGTTTTCATCACCTCCATTTTATAGGTAAGGAAACTGAGAGTCAGAGAGGCTAGGCTGCTGAGGTCAGTGGATGGCAACACCAGGCTTAAATTCCAGGCAGATGACCTCTGGAGTCAACGTATTATCAAGCATCCAACCCAGCACCTGGCACATAACTGGCTGAGCTCAATGAACGCCTGTCAGATCCCGAGCAGGGTCTCGAATCAATGAAAGATGCACTAGAAGAGGAGCCTGAGAGGTAAGGTCTAGGTAGCGTGGCCCCTTAACCTCTCCATAATGCGGGGTAACCGTACCCACTTCACAGAGCCATTCTGAGGACTAAAATGTAAGGATATTCATAAAGGTCTTAGCATAGTGACTGGCACAGAATAAAGGCTCTGTAAGTGGCAGCCATCCTTGTCTCGTTTTACAGATGAGAAAATAGAAGCACAGAGAGATGAAGAAACCAGCCCAATATCACTCAGCGAAATAAGTGGCTAAGCCAGGACTCGATCTAGGCAGTCTTACTACAGAGTCCTCTGTGTCTTACTCCAAATGCCCAGCAAAGTGCCTGGCACACAACAGCCTAGGGCCAATGCCCTTGCAAAGCTGTCCAGATAATAATAGTCACAAGTGTCAGGAGTAGTCTGCGGGGGGGGGGGGGGGCCCGGCTGAACGGGGGGTCTGGGAACCTCAGACAAGTATCCTAAACCTTCCCAGGCCTCAGTTTCCTTTTCTGAGAAATGGGGATAACACTGTCACCAACCTCAGAAGCGCAATCAGAGGCCCGGTCTTGGAAAGCAGGCTTCAACTAAGAAGCTAGAGGAGCCTCGGGAATGGGCTGGGGAGAGGTCAATCCAGGGGAGGGCCCAAGGGGCTGGACAAGGGGTGTTTACCTTTGCGGAGCTCGCGGTGCCACACAGAGACGATGGGTCCCGCGTGCTTGCGGTGGTGGATGAGCCACAAGGACAGGGTCTGCACGCTCTGCTGAGAGTTGCTCAGCTCCGAGAGCTTCTTCTCCAACGCCGACTCGGAGAAGGAGGACATGGTGGCGGCGGTGGGGCCCTGCAGGGAGCGGCCTGGGCCGCCCAGTGCGGCGGGAAGAGCGACGGCACGAGGCCGGGGCCTCACCTGACTGCCTGCGGGGCTCTTTACAGACTGACAGACTGCCAGGGGGGTAAGGAGGGGGAGGGGATGGGTCTCCGCAGTAACAGCCGCCCGCGCCGCCGCCACAAGATGGCCACCAACCTCTCACCCCGCCGAGAGCAGGGTCAAAGGGGAAGGGCCGGAGTAGCTGGGCACCGGGAGGTGTCAGAGCTAGAGAAAAACGCCCCTCCAGTGGCGGTGGCCTCCCTGAATCTCGCTCTGGGTACTTCGAAAGGGACAGACCGGGAAAGAAGCGCAGTTCGGCGGCCTCCGGAAGGCGCTTTGACCGCTCGCGCCCGCACGCAGGCGCAGTGAGGCTGACCGGAACCCTTTCTCCGGCTCCGGCAGAACCTTTCTGGCGCTGTACGGCGCGCTAGTTAGCACGCCACTTCCGGCGGGGTGGAGGAGGCGGGAGAGAGGGAAAGGCTGGAAAACGAGGTAAGGGAAGAGTGGCGGGAGCAAGAGGGAACCGGGAGCCCCTAGAGGGGAATCTCGAGGGGACACTGATGCTGAGTGATCAGGATATACGGGAGGGGGGGGGCTTTCTCCCTCATCTGGCAGGCCCCAGTCCGCACTCTTCTCTGTACACGTCCTGCTCTGTGGCTGTCCCCCCGCCCATCCCCCGCCCGCCAAAGCTTCCTTTTGGTTGTGCCAAGCCACCCACGTGCACTTTTCACGCCTTGGCTCTTGCTGTGTTTTTTCTCCAAAGGTGAGGCGTTCCTCCCCCCCGCCCCCCATCTGGTGTGCTCCCACTCAGCCTCCAGGACCACCCTTTAATATCCTGTACTGACGTTTAGTTGGTGACAGCACTGCCATAAAACACACCTTTTGTGCCCTTAATTTGGTTGCTTCGTTCAGGGAATTACATGCTGCCCTTGCCCTCTGGGGAGTCCATTTAATCGTTCTGAAATTTAAGCAATATGTTAACTTTTTTAAGGGTTGGGGCAGGGAAGTCAATTGTTCCCTTGACCTCCTTTAAAACACCGTTTGAGGCTGCGACCTTTTAACCTATGTTTAATAAAAAGTTTTAAATTCTAGTTATCAAATCAGAGAAATTTGTCTTTCCAGCTGCTGTGGGGTTGGTAGTAGGGAGTTAGGTTATTGTAGACAGCAGTTTTAAAATTTCCCGATTATCATGGCATTTACCAGTTATGGGCAAACTCCAGTTAAGAGACATTTTCCTAGTTGATGACTATTTTTTCTCTCACTGCACCATATTGTAGTTCTTTGCCTAGATGCTTTCACTCCTCTTCCAGACTAGAATCATCATAATCATCATCGTAGCCAATATAGTGAGCAATTTCTAAGGGCTAGACATTGTTTTCACATAGTAACACATTTAATCCTCATGACAAAGCAATAAGGTAGTTACTATGTTATTCTCGTTTGGCGAATGAGGAAATGGCACAGAGAAGTTAGGTGACCTATCCAAGATCACATAACTAAGATTAGAGGGAAAGGACTGCATCTTATGCATTTTTCTCATCCCACCACCTTATTCATAGCTGATGGAGTGAATTAATATTAAAAAGGTAAATGCCCTAAAATTACACAGTCAATATCTAGTCATAATTATAACCTAGGGCCTTTGAGTCCCAATCTTGACCATGTTTCCATATTAAGTAGCACTGTCATATACTGAATACTTAACACCAAGTCACTCTGTATTAAGCACATTACATACTTTGTTTTATTTAATCCTTAAAATAGTTTTGTGTGATGATGATTATTATCACTATTTGAAAGATGAGAAAACATAAAACATGGGTGAGTAATCTGTCCAATATCACTTGGATATAGAAAATGACCCAGCTAGGAGTCAAATCAAGGTTATCTGATGTCTGATCCCAAAGTCTTCACTTCTGAGCCACAGATTGATTCTTTCAGCTAATAATTTTTGAGCACTATATCTCAAGCACTATTTTAAGCAAAAAGAATCTGTGTCCCCAGAAGCTTACCTCCTACAAGAGGAGGTAGATTAAAAAAAAAAAAAAAAATTCACGTATAAAACAAGTCAGAAAATGATACCTAATTTGAATAAAAATCAAGGAGGATGAGGAATGCATTTGTGGGAGGATAGGAGTCTATTAAATATCCTGGTTAGAAAAGGCCTCATTGATAGGGTGACATTTAATTAGAGCCCTGAAAGAAACGAGAGAACAAGCCATATGCCGTATGGTAGAATGTTGTTCAAAGCAGAGGGAAAACTAAATGCACTTGTTAGACCACTGTTGGCATTTTTAAGGAACAGCAAGAAGGATGGTAAGGCTGGAGTGATACGAACCAGAAGGCTGGAAATGAGCTCAGAAAAGTAGCCAGGGACCACATAACATGGACCATATCACATGGGGACTTGTAAGCCATAGGAAGAATTTTGGATAATACTCTGAATGAAATGAGAGTTCACTGAATGCTTTTGAGCAAAAGAGGAGCATTGTGGCTCTTGGGCCAAGAACAGTAAGGCTTCAAGAGTGGAAGCAGGAAGAGCATTTGAACAGCTGTTGTAATAACCCAGGTGAAAGGATGATTCAGACCAGGGTTGAGGTGGTGAGAGGGGGTCGGATTCCAGGAATAGGAATCCCAGGATTCTGTCTTTAAGAGGTAGGACAGTATTTGCTGACAAATTAGGTATGAAATGTAAAACAAAGATGAGTCTAGGTGGCCCCAAAGATTTCAGCCTGAGCAACCATAAAAATGGGACTGTGCATTTTCTGAATTGCAGAAAGAGCTGGTTTGGGGAGTAAAAGCAGGAGTTTAGGTTTGTACATGTCCACGTGGAAATACCTATCCAGGTAAAGGCTTCTCTCATAGGCAGTTGGATTTATGGGTCTGGAGTTCAAGGAAGAGACATGATAGAGTTAAACATATAAATGTGGGCATCATAAGGGGGAATAGCTGTAGAAAGAAGAGAGTTTGGGGCGCCTGGATGGCTCAGGTGGTTAAGCGTCTGCCTGGCTCAGATCTTGATCCCAGGGTCCTGGGATCGAGCTTCTCCCCCCACCACCACGTAGGGCTTCCTTCTCAGCGAGGAGCCTGCTTCTCTCCCTCTCCCTCTGCCCCTTCTTTCTGCGTTTATACGTGCAAACATGCCCGTGTGAGCTCTCTCTCTCTCAAATAAATAAATGGGAAAAAAAAAAAAAAGGCCCAGTGACTGAGTGCTCAAACACTTCAATGTTCAGAAGTCTGAAAGATAAGATGATGACAATCTGATTTTTCTTCTTAAGCCCATTAATATTAATTACACTGATTCATTTTCAAATATTGAGTTAGCCTTCCATCCCTAGCATAAACCCTGCTTTCTCATGGCATATAATTCTTTTTACATGCTGCCACATTTTATTTTATAAACTTTGTTTAGGATTTTTGCATCTATGTTCATGAAGGAAATTGGTGTGTAGCTTTTTTATTTACATATTGTCTTTGGTAGGTTTGGTATCAGGGTAATATTAGCTTCATAAAACAGGTTGAAAAGATTTCCTCCTTTTTCTAGAAGGTTGGGTAGGATTGGTGCTAATTCCTTAAATGGTTGGTAGACGTTCCCAGTGAAACCTTCTGGGCCTGTGGATTTGTTTTCTTTTTCCTTTTTGAGTTTTTAAATGACAAATTCAGTTTTTAAAAGTTGTAAGGCTGGTCAAAGGTTAAATAATTTTTCTCATATTACGTGAGCTGTAGTAGTTTTTGAGGAATTCGCCATTTGGTCTAAGTTATCAACTATATGTGTGAAGTTGTTTGCGGTGTTCCTGTATTATCCCTCTTGTCTGTCTTTCCCTCTTGTCAGTCTTGCCAGAAGTTTGTCAATTTTATTATCTTTTCAAAGAACCAGTGCTTTGTTTCATTGATCTTTCTCTATCTTCTCTTTCCAATTTCATTGGTTTCTACTCTGCTCTTTATTATTTTCTTCCTTCTGCTTCCTTTGGTTTTATTTTGCTCCTCTTTTTCTAGATTCTTAAAGTGAGAGTTAGATTATTGATTTGAGACCTTCCCCTTTTCTAACATGCATATTAACTACTATAAATTTCCCCTCTCAGTGTGGCTGTAGCTGTGTCCCCCAAATTTTGATACGTTGTATTTTTACTTTCATTCATTTCTGTATATCTTTTTTAAAATTTCCCTTGAGATTTCCTCTTTGATCCATGAATTATTTAGAAATGTGTTGCTTTGGGGCTCCTGGGTGGCTAGTCATTAAGCGGCTACCTTAGCCTCAGGTTATGACCCTGGGGCCCTGGGATCGAGTCCCGCATTTTTGGAGGGGGGGAGTCCTACTCAGCGGGAGCCTCGTTCTCCCTTTCCCACTCCACCTGCTTATGTTCCCTACCTAATAAATAAAAATTCTAAAAAAAAAAAAAAAAAAAAGGAAAGAAAGAAAGAAGGCAGGAGAGAAAGAAACATGTTGCTTGGAGATTTTCCTGTTAATCTCTCTGTTGTGAGATTTCTAGTTTGATTCCATTGTGGTTGGGGAAACTGCCATATTCACTGTGTCATGGCCCAGGATATGATCTATTTTGGTATAATGCTCTGTGGGCACCTGAAAATGTATTCTCCTATTGTGGGTTGGAGTGTTCTTTAAATGTTGATTAGATCCTGTAGGCATAGAGCCCTGTTGAATCCTGTTACCCTTGTTGATTTTCTATCTGTTTTATCAATTGTTGAGAGAAGAATGTTGAAGTCACCATCTGTATTTGTGGTGACCACCTCTGCTTCTCCTTTCAGTTTTAATGAATTTTTGCATTGCACATTTTGGGGTTATTTTGTATTTTTATTTTGTATTTGTATTTTGTGGTTGATTTGTGTCTTAACATAATCCATTTAGTATTGCTATGTCTTCTTTTTTTTTTTTTTTAGATTTATTTATTTATTTATTTGACAGACAGAGATCACAAGTAGGCAGAGAGGCAGGCGGGGGGGCGGGGGGGGGGAGAAGCAGGCTCCCTGCTGAGTAGAGAGCCCGATGCAGGGCTCGATCCCAGGACCCTGGGATCATGACCTGAGCCGAAGGCAGAGGCTTTAACCCACTGAGCCACCCAGGCGCCCCTACTATGTCTTCTTGATGGGTTTACCCGTTCATGGTTATAGAATGTCCTTCTCTATCTCTGGTAATTACTGATTTTTCAATTCTAAAATGTCCATGTGATTTTTCTTTCCATCTCCTGTTTCTTTGTTGAGGCTTCCTATTCTTTCACTTACTTCAAGCAAGCACATAATTGCTCCTAGAAGCATTTTAATCATGGATGCTTTAATAACTTTATCAGATAATTCTCACATCTCTGTCATCTCAGTGTTTGATGTATTGATTGTTTGTTTGTTT